CCGGTGAACCTTCAGGACCTGATATATGAAGAAAAAAACACACACACACAAAATACTCCAGTTGCTCACTCTTTCTCACTGTATAAACTGTATTCAGAACACAAAGCGCTTCATCCGCTAGATGTTAATATACACAGACACCCCGTCAAGCTGTCTTGCATAAAGCTCAAAATGCTCCAGTTGCTCATTCATACAATATAAACAGCCTCCCACCTCAGAGTGGATGTCTGCCGTGTTTAGAGCCTAAGCGCTTGAGCCGATCGTTACCTTCCTATGATGAGGCACTAGCTGTGCCGCTGTTTTCATAAGGAAGTGTAGATTGCTTGCACTGTATATGCAGGTGCTGACTCCATTCATTGCCTTCTGTGATGAGCACCTACTTTACCGCTGTTTTTCTATATGCATGCAGTTTTGCTTGCGACGATGCTCATAGCCCTCCTAGGATAAGACACTGGCTGTGCTGCTGTTTATGCAGTCTTCATCATATGTGCTCTGTGCAACTGTGGTCTAGCCCAGCTTCATCCTCTTGCATAGAGCCCGAGTCAGCTACCAAACCTGAGTTTTGCTAATCAGATCGTCTCTCTGGCTGGCTGGAGGACTAATTATCTTTCATATTCAGAATCACAAGTGTTTCCGAGATTGTTTCATGGGTACAGCGTACCACTTTGCAGTCCTTGCAATGAATGTGTGCATTCATGGAATGTTTGAACGCAGCTTTCTCCCCCTGTAAAATGAGTGGAGTTTGCATGCTGGATGATTGGCTGATTATAGTTCCTACTGATTATAGTATCAAAGGCTTCTGCTACTCAACCACCCATCATCCTCTTCTGTTGTTGAGTTGAGCTTTATTTTAATGTGAGCCCACCTTTCATAGGGGCACTCCCAAGCTATACTTACTTCCTTGCTGAGTTTGAGCAAAGAAATATCTGCGACCCCGACATGACTACTGTCTTATTGATATTTAGGGATTATATCGATAAGTCCTGTGATGGTTAAAGCACCAACACTGCTGCTGCTTTTCTGTCATTTAGGTGTGGTATTCAACCAGGTCTGATAGCTCAGCATTACTGTGATACAGGCAATAGTGCTGGGACTGCCACAACTTTGTTGTCATTAACTGATGATGTTCAAATAGGTCTGGTAGCTCAGTGCAGCTATGACAAATGCCACTTTGCTCTCATTCAAAGAAATGCTGCAGCTTCTGTTACGTTGTTCAAATGAGCACCAAAATGGACACTCGTACATATTGGCCATGGAACTGTGTTATATCAGTGGATCTGAATTATGTTTACACTCATGTTCAAACAGCCCCTACACTCTAAAAAATGCTGGGTTAAAAAGGGACAAACCCAGCTATTGTGTTGTTTTGACCCAGCGGTTGGGTTGTTTTCTGTGTTGGGTTGGGTTGTTTTCTGACATAGTTTATATGATACCCCTTTTCCACCAAGGCAGTTTGAGTGCTGGTTCGGAGCCAGAGCCTAATTTCAAATCGGTTCTTTGTTTTTCGACAGCCAAAGTACCAGCTCCGAACCAGGAAAAGTGGTTTGTAAGTAGCAACAAACCATTGCTGGTCTAGAAGTAAGAACCTCTTGCGTCAGGGGCTGAGTTACCGTGACCAACAAGACGAACAGAAACCTTTGACCGCCATTTTTGAAATAGCAGCTAAACACAAACATGTTGAATTCGCCATGTTTGGATGCCGATGTAGATTCACAAAGCCATGAACATCAATAGCAATGCAACGTACACCACAGTTGATTGTGTGTTTAGGCTTGTTCGGGCTGCATTGGCGCTGTGTGGACCGGTCGAGGTGCCGCAGGAGTGATTGGAAAGCAGACGACTCTCTTTATGCTTTTGGATCACTTTTGTGGTGCTTTGTGTCATGCGCCGATCGGTCTGCATGGCGCGATGCATCTAGGAACAAGTCTGTTGTGTTTGGCGCTTCCACAATAGCATTACTGGGAAAGATGAGACGTATTCAGTAATGTAAAACCTGGCTCTGTGGTGGCTCTCTAGCCCGTGGAAAGGCAAACCGGTTCTTAGAAGGCTCGCTAGTTGAACCAACTCCGAACCGGCAATAGCACTGGCTCTGAACTAGCACCCGGTTCATGCTGGTGGAAAAGGGGTATGAGTAGCATTCTCTAACTGATGTAGCATGTGGGACTGTGGCCTGGTGAATTGCCCTGTGTCAGACACTTGTCTTTTATGTGTTAGGACGGCGACTGTATGCCCTCCATGCTCAAGTAAACAGACACTACAACAGCTTGTGACTGTCATATCCATACTAAGGTGGGACCTCTTTTTTCAGTGGGAGGCTCAATCTGGCATCCCAATCCAGATTTACGGGATCTGCATGTCTGGCCGCTTAGTAAAGCTCGCCAGTGTTAGGTACTCTCCCTTAGCGCATGCTGAATATAATTACTGAAGCGAGAGCCCTTTCTATAAAGCACCTTTATGTCCATAAAAGGAGAATCTATGAGAACTAGTGCAACTCAAAGAAGGTGGACCCTGTGAAGTCCCCGATTCCGTCATATTTCTACGAAGAGCGAGACGGTTAAACCCCTTTCGCCCATCCACAATCCCCACTTAGGATTTGGCCTTGGTCCTAAAACCTTTGATGCCATTTGAGGCGCTACAGTCGGCTTCATTAAAAGTGCTCTCTTATGAGACACCACTTACTAGCACCAGTATCAGTAAAGTGAATGGGTGATATACACTGTGTTTCAGTTATGAGTTCTGCATGGATTTTGGCCTGGGTGACTGCAGGGTCACCAAAGTCCCCTAGGTGCTCTCAAATTCATTCAGAGTCCTCTAACAGCTTTTACCCCAAGTGAAGCTGTGATGGGGGAAATCCCCCCTCCACATCCACTCTATCCCAAGTGCGCTCAATGCGTTTATGTTGAGTGTACTAGACAGTTAAGGCTCTCTGAGCAGCTCTTTATCTATTGGGTGGCCACACTAAAAGGTTGGTTGTATCAAAGCAGGTGCTATCCCATTGGATTGTGGATGTGATAGCCCTGGCTTATACTGTGGCTCACACAATGTGAAATGCCTTATAGGTTTTCGAGCCCACTTTACAAGGGGTATGGACTCCTCCTCCTCAAGGACATTTGCTTTGCAGCAGGATAGGCTTCATAAAATACCATTGCCAGTTTCTTCAATCAGGATGTTTCTTTGCTAACTTCTCAGATCCTGTCGGTGCAGAAGAGCTAGTTTTATGGCATGTAGCCCATTCAAATTGCTGTTTGCTGTTATTCCTTGAGCATTATACAGCTGTCCCTTAGAATGTACAGCTGCATAGTGCCAGGTTCGCCGCTTTCTGTCACTGGTTGGTACTACTCAATGAACACATTTAAAGTAGCTGAGTAAGTGCCACACCCCATTGGGTGCGGAGTTTCAACCAGGTCTGATAGCATAGACGTCATAACAGGTCAAATTCATTACAATGAACCCCAGGAATGCTGGTGTTCAGCAAGGTCTGATGATCTTACCGTTATGTGCCTAATAACTGTGAGTTACTATCCAAAGATATGTATGTTCATACTGTTTGGCTAATGGCTTAAACATGGCATGATTTGACACGTTCCCCAAAGCGCCAGCTTCTGATGTGACATCAAAACACATATTGAAAGGGAATGTCTCCAGTTACTGACGTAACCTTGGTTCCCTGAAATGAGCAAACCAGATGCCTTATTATTTTTCGTAACTTGCTTATTCAGTTGAAAGGTTCTGTGGAAATGACGTTCAGCACTGCCTTATATAGGGGTTGTGGCTGCCCCGAATTCGCTCGCTTGAATGCCATTGGCTATTGCAAGGCAATAGCGTGATTCAATCAGACTTTAGTATTTCTAGGAGAAAAGTGTTTCCCCAAAGTGTCAGCTTCTGATGCAACGTCTCGTTCCCTCATTTCAGGGAACTGAGGTTGCACCAGTAACCGGAGACATTATTATGGTGTCTTATGGTTTATGTAAAAAGGTGAGCTGATGAAGACTAGTTTATTAATTTTATATGCTTTAGACATGTAAAACATCCACGTTTCATATCATTATTGGGTGCTTTGAATGGATAGTTGACTCAAAAATGAAAATTGACATTCATTAGCTCACCCGCACCCTAAAAAATTATATTTTTTCATCATATGAAGTTATCAAGTCTTTTCAGAAAATTTGGACTAAACCGCTCAATTCATATGGATCAGTTTTACGATCTCTTAATGAACTTTTTGAATCGTCAAATTGGTTGGACTTCCCCATTTGACTGAGGCTCTGGATTACAGGTGGAAATGTTGTAAATAATGTTCAGATTCTTGCACAGACCGATCGTTTCACTTCATAAGACCTCAATATATCATCAGGACATTTATAGTCGTGGACTTGAATTTTATGAATCACCAAGGACCACGGATAAAATGTAAAATTGTAAAGATTAATTTAGGCCTGTAAATGTGCAAAAGGTCAATTGCACATTCTTTGTAATTTGTGTCTGTGTTACAGCAGATACATGCAAATAAACCATTTAAGCCCAAAACCCATTTTTTATCCCAAAAAAAAGAAGCAAGCTGAATTAGCTTATTCATTTTTCTTTATTCATTTTTAAATAGAAATTCAAATGATTGGGACCTAATGGAGAGGATATGTCATCATATTGCAGTATAACTATGACATGCTAATAATCCAACACTGTTAATTATAATGCAAGTCACTGATTAGCCAGGCAAAGCTAGAGTGTTCTGTGGCCCTGTCCCAAATGGCACCCTAAACCCTCGCAGTCTTCCTCTGAGTCCACACTTTCGTGACGTAATGCCGCTTTGACTGTCGGGTAGAAGTCTACTGCGGAGCTCGCACCAGTGCGGATAGAGGGCGCATTACGGCCGCAAAGGGGGCGCTCGTGAGCACCCTTCTGAACACTAAAATGACAAATGGGACACCCTACGGTCTCATGGACTTAACGGACACGCGCACGCGGCGGCCATATTAAGTCTGTAAGACCGCAAGTGCACATGAAGTGTTCCATTTGGGACAGGGCTGTGTGGTTGCTAGGCGATAGTAGCTAAGGTGTTCTGTGTGTCTATAAGAAAGTATAGCAGGTTAAATGGCTTGCATGTGTTTACATTTGAACTGTCTTCTGTCTTCATGGACAGCATCAAGCAACTTCTTTTACAGTGGGAAACCACTCATGCTCTCGGCCGTCAGACATCAGACACGTCCATGGTGTCATTTTCAGAAGGTTTGCCGGTTCCTCCATACCAGCCGCAGGAGCCATCGCTGTGTCTGATGCAGGCAGACTCGTGAATTGGTTCTCTATCCTCAAATGACCATAAGGATGACAAGTTTGTCAGTATACACTCATTTTTTGTGCTAGGTTGACAGGGCTTTTCGGTGCAGGTAGAAATCTGTAGAGAAGACAATTTCAGAGATTAGTATACTGCAATATACTATAATATAATATAATATAATATTTTGGTAACACTTTATGTACCAGTTTTCAATATTAATTAGTTGCTTATTAGCATGCATGTTTCTTTCTCTTTAAGTTTTGTTAATTGGCTTTAGGGTATATGTCGAACATCACCTGACCAAACACGGAAAACAGGTCTCATCGCTTCCACTTGTCGGAGAACGTGCTAACAGCCGTAATAAATAATAGCGATATCTATGAACTTTTAAGATAATCAGTTAAACTATAGCTAGCTGTTTTTATTGTTGACGTTTTATTAAATTTTTATATCTAAATGTTAGTGAAAACAATAAAAATAAAAAACATTTAGATATCAGTCCGCATATGTGATGGACATTGGTTATGATAACTGTTGCGCATAACCCCTATTTTCCTGTCCGTGTGTATTATCAAGTCCCTTGATAATATTGGTTAATATTACATGTACAGAAAAGTAATTCAGTGGAATGACATGATATTTTTGTTTGGTAATTGAGTGGTCATAATGTTTGGATCATTGTCAACTGGGTTGAAATAAATATATGACATATTTTATTACCATGCAGCTACAGCTCATCAGATATCTGTGTTTGATGTTCTTTTTTTGCATTAAGGAGAGTCTGTCCCAGAGCGCAAGATAGTCGCACATTGAAACGAAGAATCCCTCAGACGCGATGCTTCCTGTGAGATAAAAAACATACAGTATCACAAATTTCAATATTGTTTTATTTTCCCTGAGGTCCACCTATATAATGTTAGCCAGAGAATCACCCTCTCACAGTGTTTAGGGGCAGATCAATTTGAATATGTAGGTTTATATAAGTCAGGAGATGGTCAGAACTGCTGCTCATCTCCCATGTTTTCATATCAGGCTACCAGCTATAATGTAAACTTTTAAGACATTTAAACGATTTTCATTGCAAAACTCACTTTCAGACATCAGCAAGTGTCTGAAATAACTTGCAATCCGATGGTGATCACCATATGAGGCAGAAATATATTTTTATAGAAGTACACACAATGCTAAAGACAATGTATGCTAACCATTGCCATAATAAGTGCACATTATGCTCATGAAAATATCAGAGACCAGCTGAAGAACATATATTATACTTGTCTATTTATTCGGTTTCATATTTCTTCTGTCTCTTCCCTGTGTCTTTGTTGGTACTGGACTTTTGCATCCACATATTTAATAAATTACATCATAACTCCAGATTTCTGTTAGTCAGCTCAAACCTCCTCAGGTTGCATTATTTAGTGGAAAATTAATATGACTGATCGTTCTTTATAAAGAAATATGGCATAAACATTCAAGAGTTTATTAGCATCTTTCTTAATGTGTACGTCTTTGGACTTAAAAGCCCTAATGGAGTTGTTTTGTGCATTCCTATGAGCAAATAAATGAACGCAGGGGTGACTGAACAAGTATGTGTGTTCTCTTTTTTATGTGAAATATGTTGATTCAGCATGATTGATGTGCACTACTGAGCTCATTCTAGTTTTCATTAATCTTGCCCTTGCTGGTGAAATGGAGGGTTTGTGTGATGTTGTTCTGTGGAGGCAGGTTTTAGAGTAGCACTATGGGATTACTGGCCAGACAGTAGAAACACAGCTTGAGTTTGGCCTTAGAGGTAATCAATGCTCTTCTAGACTATAGGAAGACATTTTCCATTCTCAAAGGATTTTTTCTTTATTACAATAAACTCTCAAGAAAAATGTGGTAATTTGTTAAAACATTTTAAATCCTTTTACCTGAAAGCAGATACTGTCCACGACCCAGTCTAGTACCGCACATTGAAGACATCTCATTCGTATAGACATGCTGAATTTCCTTTATTCTATCAAAACCCTTGAACACCTGCAAAAACAAGATTTTGGTTGCTGGTAGCCTTTATTCCTATCATTTTTGCTAAGTCACCATATTACATTTTTATTTGGCTATTTGAACCTCAGTGCACTGTAGTGTATAATCAGTAAAGATGTATATCATAATTAATCTTAACCCTAAACAACCATTTTGGGTCTGCTAAAAAATAATTTCTATTTAATCCTCTGTAAATTGACATAGGATGGGCACAGAGAGAAAAATGAGATTGGAAAACGGTGGATTTGAACTTGGGTCACTAAAAGCGAACTGCGTCAACTTTAGTCTTTGTCAGTTTCTCCCAAGGTTTTTTTCTCCATTTCTGTCACCGATGGAGTTTCCTATTGAACGGTCTCTCCTGTTGCGTTTAACATGCTTATGGGGAATCTCATGTTTACTCTGATTGTGAAGCCTGATTTGTTCACGTTTGTGTATCTGCATGAATAAATGGAGCTTCAACCTGCCAAAAGGGGAGAGCCAAAGCACCATTCATCAGAAATGTTCTCCTTCAGTGACGAAGATCATCTCCTCGCTCTACTCTGAAGAAAGAAGCCGAAGCAAGAAGCTCAGCCTGCTGCTCACCGTAGAAGAGTCACTCTATCACCTGTCAATCGAGAAACTCAGACCGCTTTCCACCCGGCTCTAGGCTTGGAAAGCCATTGTGGATGTGTCAAGTTGGGATCTAAACATCATAGAACGAGGTTACTCGCTCCAGTTCACTCACAGACCACCTCGCTTCAGAGGTATTATTCAAACTTCGGTAAAGGGCAACGATGCTCACATTCTCCAGTCCGAAGTGCAAGCCTTGTTTGCAAAAGGAGCCTTGGAGACGGTTCCTCAGACGAACAGCTAGTCAGGCTTTTACAGCCGCTACTTCCTCGTTCCCAAAACAGCTCAGGCCCATTCTCGATCTCAGGCATCTGAACTGCGAGCTGATGAAGCGGCCGTTCAAGATGCTGACTTTGAAACAGATGCTCACGCAAATATGCCCTGGGGACTGGTTTTTATCGATGGATCTGAAAGAGGCTTACTTTCACATCCACATAGCCCCTCATAACAGACCATTCTTGAAATGTGCGTTCAAGGGGGTGGCTTATACAATCCTGCCATTCAGACTGTCTCTGGCCTCCGCACTTTTACGAAGTGCGTGGACGTGGCTCCTTCCCCTCTGAGACAGACAGGAATCTGCATTATGAATTGCATGCTGTCCAGGGGCAATGTAGCGGAAGGAGAATGGAGACTACTTCCCCAAATGGTTCAAATGATCTGGTCTGTCTTCGGGGAGGCAGAGCATATCTGTGAAAATTTTTTTTCTTTGATCTGAAGTGTGTTTTCATATTTAGATACCCATGCTACCTTTATCAGTCTATACTCTACCAGTTAATCCACAAGAATCCCAAAGAGATTGTAACTCTGCCTCCATTTAAATGATGGACTACTTGGACGGAAGGCCAAATAGCAAAAATATTCCCCACATTACATTTATGTGAACATCAAGTACTTTAGCTCACCTTTATCACTTGGATTTCATACTGAATTTTTCCCATGCCAGGTGTATATTCATCGCTGTATATGATCTTCTCCCCAGTTACCTCAGCTCGCATCACTAATCAGAAATGAGTTAGTTGTTATTACTAGTGTGTGACACGGAAAGCATTAAAGGAATCATTTCAGTGAAATCAATTTCTTCTTTTAGAATCACACACTTACACAGTCATGTTTATCTATCTATACATTGTGAATCCCCTGTGATACTTAGGGCCCTATTTTAACGATCTAAGCATATGGTCTAAAGCGCACGGCTCAGGTGCATTCAGGGCGTGTCCGAATCCACTTAAAATATTGCGCCAGACTTTAGACCAGGTTTGAGTTGGTCAACGGCGCAGTCTATTTTCAGTTCCTCAAAATAGTAACGCGCCAACAATGCGCCTGAACACACCTCGTTTTCAGACCAGCATGCCCATGGGCGCACAAATGGGCGAAATGCATTTGCCATTTAAACAACGTGGCGCAGGACAGGGAAATGAGAACTGTGTCGGGCTGAAACTAGCAAAAACACTTGCGCCCCATTGTGTCGGGTGTATGATAGGGCCCAAAGAATACAAAGAAATTACTAAATACTAAATACATAATCCAGCTAGATGTACCTGATATTTACTGTAGCTGAAAAAGAGGCTGTGAACTCGTTCCCAGATAACCCACATGCAATTACCTACAAGAGCTCTTAAAATATATCTTGAAGCTTTAATCTGGCTTTATTTGGTACATTTTACTATATTTTATTGTCTTGTATGTGAACATTATTTAGAATTTCAACTAATAGCAGAAAAAACTTGTGTCCCATTTTCAATCAAAGTCGTGGTATATAACAACCAGAAGTCCAGCAGATTCTCATGACTGTGGTTCAAGGTCATTACGTTTTTTATAAAGTACATTTTCATGCTATGGATGTCAAGATTTGCCTGTGTTTTGTGTTCAGAGACTCGTATTTTGAAGTTTATTTCTATCTGTTGTTCATGGTTTCTCTTTTCATGTGTTTAGTTCCTGTTGTGTTGGTTCCTAGGTTTCTGAGTATGTTCACTTACACTGTATTTTGATGGTCCTCTTTAGACGTTCTGCAACTGTATACTTTAGACTTTTCAGCTGCACATACTGTAGACTGTCTATTGCGGGACCATCAAAATAAAGTGTTAGCAGTTAAGCAGACAGTCTACTAATACTCTAATGCAGGGGTCCTCAAATCTGGAACTCGAGATCCACTTTCCTGCAGAGTTTAGCTCCAACCCTAATCAAACACACCTGAACACGCTAATCAAGGTCTTCAGGATTACTACAAAGTAAGGATTACAGGATTACAACAAAGCTCTAATGACTGCTATAGTTGATGTGTTGCAAAGGGAACCAAAGGTGACCATCAATAATTGTTGCTATAGTTACTAATTTTGTTCACCTGTGTCTCGTTTAGTTTCTCATTTGGTCTGTGTACTTGTTGCCCTCCTTTTCAGTTGTTCTTTCAGTTACTATACGTTGGTTTGCTATTCTTCTGCATTTTCCTTGTGCTTACGAGTGTTTCCTACTAAACGATCCTCAACTTTTCCCTGCCCGCAAACAACTCACGACAATGGCAAGGTTAGCTTAGGTTGTCCAATGGTTTAAAACCTAAATGACATTATTGTTCAAGGACATATATATTTTTCTTGCAATCTCGTTTTAAAAAAATACACTCATTGACATAAATTCACTCTTTTTCAATACAAATGGGTTCAAGTAAGGAAAATTATTTTATATCTTTTTACATGCTTACACTACTTGAAATTTTTTGTGTAATTAAATTTAAATTATTTGCTGAAAGTGGTCATCTCAGACAAAGACTTTATTTGACTTTGACCCTTTAACATCTTCTGCTAGGAGTTCAGTTTGCCAAGATGAAAGAATGTGTCATTGATTTACAGCTTGTTCCTTTAAAATAAAACATCTATGGGTTATAAATGAGTGGGATGGTACACTGATGCCATAGTTGTTTTCTAGTTGATGGATTATGTGGATTTACTGTATTCGTTCAAAGAATACTACAGGAATCTGTGTGTCTCATGCCGGTCATTCCATGCCTTATTGTTCCAGAACAAAGAATGGAATGCCAAAGCAGCTCTGACGCACTGAAGCAGGGATTCAAAACAACTCTTTCATTCTCTGAGTGAAACTTGTTTAGCAGAACATTTTAATGAGTGCACTACAAAAATCAGATGCCGGTCTTGTTTTTCAGAAAATATCTCAACATTCTTAAAATAAGATACATTTACCTGAGAATCAAAATAAATAAGACATTAAGACTTGTTTTCAGAGAATACATCTTGAATATCAATATTTTGTTTCTGTCTTTTGACTAGACGTCTTTCACTTGTAAGTAAAAACACTTTCACTTTCGAGAAAGTAAGAAAGCATTCCAATAGTCAATGACCTCATTCATGATTTTATTTAAGTTCAAATTATATCAATCACATCACAAATCAATACACCTATTTTTAAAGCCAAACCCAGAGCTAATTAAAAAGTAAATGCCACTCCGTTGGATCATTGAACTGTGACTTATTACAACAGCAGTTTGAATATCAGCTTATTCATAATTACAGAGAACTGAGAGCAGCTTCTGACTACTGTGTAATTATGCTGTTATAATAAGGTTAATTGGTACACCAGATCATTGTAAAATAAGGTGACTGCTCTTTCATTAACGAGGCAACAACTAAATATCACCTTGATTCTGATCATATTATCATATTTGCACAATAATTACAAACTTAATATGTTTGCCACATTGCAGTTCACGACATTGTCCTGAACCTAAGTCTGTTGAGATTTAGCCGTTTCGTGCTATTCCTCATTGTTGATGGACAAAATTTGGGTTTTGATAACAGGTATTTCATTTAGTGCAAATGTTTATGGAATATTAAACTGTAACAGTGTAATGTTCTTGATAGATTTGTCACACCATCCTGAAGACCGGCACTATACTTTGGCAAAGTTATGAAAATAAAAGAGCATAAACTCCAGTTTGATTGACGTACCTATGTCAGACATGCAGAACAGCTGTTGAGGGTGTCCTGGAGCACAGCTGCAGCCCTCGGCCACCTGCTCGTTCAGTCCCGCAGAGAGGAAGAACAGCAGCCCTAGAGTCACAGCAGCAGACATGCTCAGAAATGATCAACTATATAAAATACACTTCTTGTGGCCCTGAATGATTCCTCCCCTCCGTCTGTAGTGATGATCTCTCTCTAGGATCTGCGGGTGTCTTATAGCTTTCATTTCTGGCTGAGGAAAGGACCACCCTTCTAACTTAACAAACCCCACCCTCTACAAACACACACACACACACACACACACGTTGGTATTAGTGGTTCATGGGGACTCTCCATAGGTGTAATGGTTTTTATACTGTACAAACTGTATTTTATATCGCCCTACACCTAAACCTACCCCTTACAGAAAAATTTGTGCATTTTTAGATTTTCAAAAAAAACACCCTTTAGTATGTTTTTTTAAGCCTTTTAAATTACAGGGACACAGGTAGTGTCCTCATAAACCACCTTCATATTGAAATACCTGTGTCATACCCATGTCATTATACAAATAAGTGTCCTCATAAACCACCCAAACCAGTGCACACACACACTCTAGGATCGGTGGTGTAACAGAGAGGCAGTGGCGTTAGGATCCATGTGCAGCTTTATTAGTTCACAAGGCAGGTCATACAGGCATAGATCGGTAACTGGTGTTAGACACAACGAAGGCTGGGCAGAATCGTAAACGGTGTTCGTAATCAGGGTCGAGGCAGGCGGCAGACAAACAATAGCAGGAATCAACAAGGCAGGCAGGGTCAGAATAGGTAGGCAGCAAGCAATCGTAAACGGGTAAACAGTCCAGGTAATCAACAGATACTCAACACAGGGAAACCGCTCAGAAATGTCTGCAAGGCAAAACAAGACTTCGCAAAGAGAGCAGGGAAGGCACAGTTTAAATAGACCGGGCAATAGGAAACACCTGTGCAGGTGATTAGTCTCAGGCATGGGGCGTTGTGGGAATTGGAGTCCGAAAGGATCGCTCAGTACTCCGGTGATGGTTCCCTCTGGTGGTGATCGGAGGGAGCCACAGAGGCTGAATTTGTGACAGGTGGAGATGCTCTTGTGCCAGTGGAGTTTCAGGAGTGGCGTATCGATTCAGATCTGACTCCAATATGAAATACACTCTTTATGCTATCAGTTCCCTGTGGAGAAAAGATAGTCTGGTTAAATGCTGTTATGCTCTCAGAAATGTCAGATTATGGAAGTCAAATTGGTTGTCATGTTGCATGCAGTGTTAGCAATCAGTCGCTGGTTTTTAGGACATAAAACTCGTCTTGTTCACACACGCTTGATTGATAGACTGGATATGATGAGCCAGTCTGAAGCACTACACTGCAGCAATGCCTAATAAATGACTAACTGAAGTTGAAACACTGAAAGATTTATTGGCCTATAGTTGGGATTAAATAACGTCGTGACCAGTTCCTGGATCCTTGCATGAAGTCAGTAACTAATCCAAACATGGATAAGTTTATTAATGAAAGTCAACAATGAAAACAATGAATCTGTGTTTCAGATCTCAATGCCAACATTCCCTGCGGTGGTGAAGATCGGACACGCTCATTCTGGAATGGGGAAGGTATGCTAAAATGATTTTGTTTTTACATTTTCATTTTAAGTTTTTTTTTTGTTGTTGTCATTTTTAGTACTTTTTTGTAATTTTACATGTTATTAGATTATTTTTTCTCTGTCTCCATTTTAATTTGAGCTCATTTCAATTAGCAAAATGTCTTTAATAGTTTGATTACACTTTATTTTGATGGTCCCCATTAGACATTGCATTCAGTTAGTTAACTGTATCAGTCACAATAGTGTTGGGTCTCATTCATTAGCAGTGTGTATGCACAAATTTGTGTGTGAAATCTGAAATATAAACATATTCACAAATCATAATTCATCAATAACTTTTGTTCTAAATGTTTTAATAATCCATTCAACCATTAGCGAATGAGACCCAATGTATTAACCATGGCTTTGGTTTGGGGAAGGGATTACCTTTTTTGCTTTTTTTGCTTTTGCTTTCTTTCGAAGCTGCTGATTTCACTGAAATTACACACTTCACCCAACTTATGTCTCTCAGCCCGTTAACAACATGACAACATATCAATGGTACGTTGCCTTGGCAGGTGAAAGTCGACAATCACAGTGACTTCCAAGACATTGCAAGTGTTGTGGCCATCACTCAAACCTACACGACCACAGAGCCTTTCATTGATGCTAAATATGACATCAGGGTCCAGAAGATCGGTTCTGACTACAAAGCTTACATGTAAGTACAGGCGCACGACGCAGTTTACAGTAATCTATGTCAAGCTGGTAGACCCTCAAGTCATTCCAAACCTCACAGACTCTCTTTATTTCCGTGGAACACACTGTAAAAGGAGGATTTTGATGAATTTACTGATCCACGAAATGACAATTAATGGGAACCGAGGCTTTCAAGCTTCAAAAAGCATGCACAAATGACCATAAACGTATTATAATAGCAGTCGATACATCTTCTGATTTCATGCAATAGCAAATTATCATTTTTGGTGAAGAATTCCTTTGATAATGATTGGTGAAATCATTGCGCGGACTGAATGTGAATTGATAAATGATTTCAATTCACAGGAGAACATCCATATCTGGCAACTGGAAATCGAACACTGGCTCTGCCATGCTGGAGCAAGTAGCCATGACTGACAAGTGAGTAATAGAGAAAGAAACGCTTTCGATTAACTGTATTGGTCCAAATATACTGAGGCTTTTACAGACTCTATGAGGTCTGTGTCTTTAAGTCCATGTACAGGTACAGTGTGCTACCTTTGATGGCATATTTATGCTAGTGCACTGCTTTGGTAAACTTTTAATAGATAATGTAAAAATTGTCCTAATAAAAATTGCATTATGACAGCAGAAAGGAGGTCATAAAATGTCATTAAAAAGAGCCAAGTGTCTTATTTGCAAGGCGTCACCTGGTTTTGTTCAGGAATGTGCATGTGTATTAGATGACTGACTGGAGATAAAGATGCTAAATTCATGATGAAATAGTCGATAAAACTGAAACTCCGTAATCACTCAGAGGTGCCAAGATATCTGGTAAAAAGCGCGTCATCAGAAAAACATCTGTTTAAAAAAGAAGGCAGTTTTACATACATTCTAAATCATAAACAACTTAAAGACATTTTCTAACCCTTTATTTAGCATCTGACTGGAAACGTCTGAACAACGCACATCCAATAGATGTCTCCAGATGTATGTGTGCTATCAGGGCCATTAGTATGACATGTGCACTTAAATAAATCATGCTCTTGAGGAAAAATAAGCAAGCCAACATGCAGTACATTCTACTGTATATCTGTCATTCCATACATACATACATATACAGGTGCATCTCAATAAATTAGAATGTCGTGGAAAAGTTCATTAATTCAACTCAAATTGTGAAACTCGTGTATTAAATAAATTCAATGCACACAGACTGAAGTAGTTTAAGTCTTTGGTTCTTTTAATTGTGATGATTTTGGCTCACATTTAACAAAAACCCACCAATTCACTATCTCAACAAATTAGAATACTTCATAAGACCAATAAAAAAAAAAACATTTTTAGTGAATTGTTAGCCTTCTGGAAAGTATGTTCATTTACTGTACATGCACTCAATACTTGGTAGGGGCTCCTTTTGCATGAATTACTGCATCAATGCGGCGTGGCATGGAGGTGATCAGCCTGTGGCACTGCTCAGGTGTAATGGAAGCCCAGGTTGCTTTGATAGCGGCCTTCAGGTC